AGTTGTAGTTATATAAGGGACAGAGGTGGTAATCTTAAGTTTTAGTCAAGTATTATGTATGTGTAAACAATTCTATGCCTCTTCATGTTGGTGGGTGAACTCCAGAAAAGCTACAGCTTCCACAGAATTTGAGTTGTCTCATGTCTTTTCTGTCTGATCCCCCAGGTTTCTCGAGATGGTGGCCTCGCTGTGCCTACCAGTGATGTCCGTGGAAGCAGTGACATTGTGGAAGGTGGACGGATGGCTCTAGATAACAAAACCTCCCTACTTAACACCCAACCACCCCGCGCCTTTTCAGGGCCACGTGCTCGAGAATATAACCCCTATCCTTATGCTGACACAATTAACACTTACGACAAGACTGCTCTGAAGGAAGCAGTATTCGATGATGACATGGATCAGCTTCGGGATGGTTTGTATCAGTGTATCTCATAAAACTGCAGGCAGCTTGCTCTGTTTCTGGTTTATTTGTGTATGGGTAGCGCTCTCAGATACGTGCCTGCCCATGCATATGTTGTGTATTACTTTGCATCTGAGTTGAGGCTTGATATGAAATACTCTGCGTTCTCATGTACCAGCAGAACCTGATCTGTGGCTATTGAGAAAATGTTATACTGTATTTTTAATTTTTGTTTGCCTAGAGTTTCCTTCAAACTAGTCCCTTAAGCATCTAAATGCATCTGTAGGGGCACTATTTTGGGGACCTTCCACTCTGACTGAAACATCTCACTTAACAGCTCGTTGTTACTGAATGTTTCACTTCATTTAAGTGATGCTACACCTTAGCTTTATTTTTTTGCAGTACACTGATGAATCACTGTACTTTGATCTAAAGGTCATACATGTGATTGCTCGTTTTGGGTGTGTGTGTCTGGGAAAAACTGTGGCAGTTCTCATCTTGTAGAAGTAATTATTGGAACTGGATGAAATTCAATCATCATCTCTTCCTGGTTCATTAGAAGCCATGTGCAGATTCATGAGCTGTGTTATGAACTCAGGTGAAATTGTGGGCTAGTCGGATTCTCTTGCCTGCTTGACTTAGGCCACCTGGGATTTGATGCATTTTTTGGGGACCCCTTGTTACATGCACTTTGTTATGCAGAGGGTTAGTAATCTTGGCATCTTTGATCTTTTTCCCCATTTCCCCAAATGATTTGCTGCCATTTGTCCTAGAAGTACCCATTGACCATTCAGATTTGGTGGCTGATCTTCTGAAAGAGCTTTCCAACCACAATGAGCGGGTGGAGGAGCGAAAAGGAGCTCTCCTGGAACTGCTAAAGATCACAAGGGAAGATAATCTTGGAGTTTGGGAGGAACATTTCAAAACCATTCTGCTCTTGCTGCTGGAAACGCTTGGAGACAAAGATGTGAGTTGTAGATTTTTGTCTTAACTCCCCTGTACATTGCTTCATCTAGGTTGATAGTTCCTCCACACTAGTTTAAATGAAACCTGCTGCATTTGTATGGCATCTCATCAGTGATGCTGCACTGTTCATTTTTTCTTTTGAACGTTGATGACTCTGCTTTTGTTTTCAGTGTGTTCAATGATTAATTTTAAGCTACTCTGAAGTGTCCCAGTTTTTCCCCTTCCCTCTGGAGTGTTAGTAACAAATAACTAGGAAATTGAACCAGAATCAGAAAACAAGTTATCTTCTAATCTTGCACAAAAACTATCAAGACTTCAAAAGTTGTTCTCTTCCAAGTTAGGATGAAGTTACAAGCTCTTAACTATATCATACCCATTCCCAAAAAAAGGAGAATAAAGGCACCCTAGAATAGATTTTTTTTTTGTCTCTGTGTGGTTTAAAGATCCAGGCTATTAGATCTCATGGGATGGGTTTCTGTCTCTTGCAAAAATGTCATCAAAACCAAACTGCTTTTATACGGGATCTTGTTTTGAAGTATTAAAAAAAAAAAAAAAGCTGTGTTATTATCACAGCTTTATATTTGATAGCAGATCAAAGTGATAATTTACAGGCTAGACTTCTACTTTTTCCACTTGGGGCTATTTGTTCAGCTTGCAGCACAATGATATTTGGTAAAGGCTTAGCTCCCTGCTGTGCCTTCACATCAGAGCCATGCTCTGTCTGAATGTTACAATATTTAGGCTTCAAAGCACCAAAGCACTCACAGTTTTTTGGTATTTTGGGGTGGTTTTTTTTGTTTCATCTGATTCAAATCCATTGTATTTCTTATAGTCCTTGTAAAGTATATGGCACGCTCTCAGAAATTTTAACTCTGAAGCAGTGTAGGTTGCTGACACTTTCTCAGTTGTTGTTTGTAGTATAAGCATGAGCTGCTCTAGTCCTACATGTTTAATCATAGCATCATCATACGTGTATCAGAAGATACAATGGCTTTATCTAAGTACATGTGAATTGTGCTACTGCATGAATTTTGTAGACGAATAGCAAAGGACGTGCTTTAAAGGCTGAGTATAGAGTAAAGTAAGTATTCCTCTGCTGAAATAATAGAATCTATTTGGAGTGGCCACAGGCCAAAAACTTAATATAACAGTTATGAAATTGAAGCAGGTGTTATAAATCCCTTCTGCTAATGATCTTTTGATATAAAGGATTACCACATAGGTCAGTGTTGACTACAATGACTGACTGTTCTTGAAAGTAATTTCCATAGCAGTTACAGGAAGAGAGTCGGTTTTACTGCATTAGTACATGAGAAACAGCTTTGTTGCATGGATGGAGCCCAGTTTGATATCCGCAAAGCTAAGCAAAAGAGGAAGGGCAAAACAAATATGATCTGAGCTTCTTTGTAGATTCATGTAATGCAGACATGCTGCTTTGGGTACACATTTATACTTCATTGCCAAAAGAGTATGGAATTTAACAAAGTAGAGTAATCTGATTCTTTCTTGTACCTGTGACAACAGTCATGTTGTGTGAATTTTTGTGCAGAAGCAAGCAAGGAGACCAATTCTAAATTTTAGTTATATTGATTACACTGCTTACTCCACTGGAGCTGGTAGAGCGATATAAGATTTCTGGTGGCATAGGGAGCTATGAAAATTTACTTCAAACTCTAGTTTTGAGAAGTGACTTTTTCTAATGTGGATTTCTCTTGACACAGCATTCAATAAGAGCTCTGGCGCTGCGAGTCCTGAGAGAGATCTTACGGAACCAGCCAGCAAGGTTTAAGAACTATGCGGAGTTGACCATCATGAAAACGCTGGAAGCACATAAGGATTCCCACAAGGAGGTGAGTGAGCCTTTCAGTGTTGCTGCTGGGAAAGCAATATGGACCTGCTGAAGAAATGTAGGAACAGTGAAATTTAACAGGCAAACACGTTGACCCATCTTGACAGTAGAACAAATTGATATTATGTCTCCCAAGTATGAAGAGACAGGATTTTTACATGCTGAAGCAGAGAGGAATAAGAGTTGAGACTGACAGAGCTGCTTAAGTGGATTTGGACTGATCTGGAATTGCAGGCCACTGTTTATCAACTTCCCAGGATTTTCTTGCTCATTCTGGGAGAATGAGTACTGTAGTAGAAAAGCGCACGTTTAATAGTTTTGCAGAGCACACTGGGGGCACTGTGCTCCCTCCATCTGAAATGTACTGGAGAACACAAAGCCCATGTTCAAGCAGAATTGTGCATGAAAACTGAATGGTGAAATTGGGCCATGATGGAGAACTGGGAACTGGTGAGTAACAGGAGAAAATGGACAAAGAGGCCGTGCTGCTGAAAAGAAGCTGGGGCAGAGGAAGAAGCAAAGGGAAGGGTGAATTGCATTTTCCTTTTGTGAGAGAACTCGTATGTAAAACTGAAAGTATTCTTCTGGAGTAAAACAAAAATAAAGTGACATGATGATAACATTTGAAGTAGATCAACTGAAATTACATTTAAAGTCAATCTTTGTAGATTGACTTCCAAGCTGAATCTTTTAATCTACCTTGTGCATGTTGCAAGTTTGAACTAAACCTTGGAAAGTGCCACATGAATTTCTCTATATGCCTGTGATGGCTTTGTTACCAAAGTCCTTGCTTTGAAATCTAAGACACTTATTCTTCTCTGCAACAGGCTTGTCCTAAATAGCAATTTTAGGCATCTCCATCTAGAGAGCTTTCGCCATGAAAAAGATCGTTGTATAGATCAGACTGCTCCAGAGCATTGCGTAACTGGCACAAGGTTATGTTAGCTGTGTGTAGCAGAAACTGTACTGTTTAAAAATAAAAACAACAAAACAAACACCCTCAGGGAAAGAAACTAACAGGCTGGATTTCTCTAAAACACAAAAGTAGAAAATGCTTAATCCTTTAGTGAATGAGGACTGCCGTACTCTGCCTACCTTCTTTTCCTTGATTTAGAGCCCTTGCACTCCTGTCACTTTCAGTTCAGAGTAACAAGAAGCAGTTGTAAATTGATTTCCTGATAAAGCAGTCAGACAAAACATTGTGTTCTGAAGGAGTGCCTTTTATTGGCAAGTTTTCCTGGTTGCATACTTCCAGCTCACCTTGACTCAGTGCCCTTTGTATTTATTTTTTTTTTTTCCTGAGACTCCTCCAAAACTGCCATTTCTAGCAGGACCTTTCCAGATTGTCTCTGGCATTGTTTTTAATGCCCCTCAGAACTCACTGTCCTCCTAGGACTGGTGGGTTTTATAGAAATCAAGCACAATGTTGAAAACATGACACTTCATGCCTCTGTACTCCCCACACTGTATTCTTCATGCTTGTGGTATGGGAAGGTTCTTCAGGATTTGCATGAGGTGCCTCCTGAGGAAAAGCAGAGAAGAATAAGTCTTTGCTACAGAGAGAGCAAAGCTCAAGCCAGGAATGGAGAGATGCGAGTTCTGGCACTTCTATAAAGAAGTATTGCTATCAGCAAGTAGCTGCTGTGCTGTATGTACCGTTGTGAATCAAAGGCATGCTTTTGCATAGCATCTTTATAATTTAAAAAAATCATATTTGCAACTGCTGCAATGAGACCTTTGGGTGACAGCTGTCATAGCAGGCTGCTGCAGGTATATTCCTGTTTTGCTATCTGTTGCTAAACAGTTGTGTGTGCGTCTGTATTAAGTGCTGGCACTGGTGCTGGATTTTTCATTCTATGTATGTGTTTTTTCTTATCCCTGTGTAAATGGGGCTCTCAGAACCATAATGCAGCCCCTGAAAGGCATCATCTGTATGTCAGTAGTTTGAGAATATCAGCATTCATGAAGTAAGAAAGGTTTCCCAACCTGCACTTGGGTATCTCCATGAGCTAAGCTAAAGATATATGTGGGAATATGCTTTAGGTATTTTTACCTGTAGCTGGGGCTTGCTGATTCGGTTAAGTCTGTGAAAAATTAACTGAGAGTCCATTTGGGCATGGCTCAGTTGGTCAAACTCATAGCCCTGGGCCAGAAGGTCACAAATTCCCATCCCATGGTGGCCCTCCAGCTTGCTCTCACTGCTGACTTTGCAGCGCTGCTCCCTCCAGGAGGGGTGGAGGAGCTGCCCTTTGGCTTGATCCCACTGAGCAGGAGATTAAGTGAATATTCACCAGTTTGTGATTGAAGGGCACTTTCAAAGAATAGCTGAAGAAGGAAAGGGAAGATCTCGGCGGTCTGTTCTACAGTTTTCTTTTTCACTAAATCAGAGCAATGTTAAGGGCAGTGGTGTACCGTTCTTAGACTACATAAAATAAAATCTTCCTCTGTATTGTAAAAACTACTTTGAGGAAAGCTGCTATATAATTTGGTTAGGAAAGTGTTAATCCTTGTGCTAGTAATGCTCTGATAGGATGGCACTCCAGGGTTTGTTATGTTTCTGGGCTGCTTCTGCCTGGTAGTAGAAGGCAGGAGTGAACCTAGTTTATGGTTTGAGATTCTTTGGCACACAACAGGCTGTGTAAGTCAGCAGAAAATTACTGTTTTCAACGAGCTGTATCTGTTTCACTCTTACTTACCTGAGGGACTGCTAACTTCCCTAAGTTATTGCTCCCATTTTCCATTACATATGGCCCATGGAGAATCAATTTAAGTGACCAAGGAAAAAGGAAAGAGTTTGAAGGAGAGAACGGTACAGAACTGTTAGTCTTGGGTACCATCTCCAAGAAGTCATTTTACTAAGAGGCAGTTCTTTGGAAATCAAAAAGAATGTTTGTCTTCCCAAATTCCAGTATTGCTGCTGTTCACCATGACCAGGAGGGATCAAATAACAAATTATAACTAACATATTCACCACCTAGCAAATACCACCACCCCTCCCCCATTTGAGTGCCAATATCTAGTTAAAGATTCAGTCTGAAACAAAAGGGTCTGTGGTTTTCTTCCAGATTATGTAACTGGAAGTATCAAAGCAGTGTTAGTGTAGTTGGATATCTTGGGATGCCTGGATACTTGGCTGTTTTTCCAAGTCCAAGCTGAAGTCTTTAGACAGTTGAATCTTTGCCATGGCTAGAACTCTTCTGCCTTCTGTTGCTGAAGGCAAGGTCTAGGATCAGTGGAGCAGCACAGCTCTTCCCAGGGACACAGGAGAGGAAAACTTGGTATATGGAGTTAGATGCTGAGTCACGCCTTGTTGTGAGCGCAAATGCAGGAGGTTAGCAAAGCACAGACCTCAATGGGGGTTCAAAATTCATGTAACCCTAGGCTACAGACTAGAAGACTCTGGGTGGGGATCCATCTTTAGTTTGCATTTTTTAACTTCAGCCTGTTTTTATACTGTTTGTAGTATAACAGAGTATTCAATGCTGTTGATTTAATGGGGTGATGTGAAGAGTCAAGCCTGCTTCAGTCATAACTGTAAATATTTATGGGGGTTGACATGTAAATGCCTTTCACTTACTTTTGGAGCATTAGAACATAATTGAAGTTGTGGACGGTATTAAATCTTGTTGATTTTTATCACTCTTTGTTTGGAGTTATTTGGAAGAGAACCGTCTTTCTGTTGCCAATTAGTTAATATTAACTCATTTGTTCCAGTGTAGTTACTCACCCATTACTAAGGAGAGATGCTGCCTGCTGACCCAATACCATTGATATGACATTGTTTCAGATTCATACCAGCAAAATGAGTATAAGTTCTTATTATTGAGTATATTAAAACAGAAATAGTTCATTATCTTGGGAAATGGTTACAAAACATCTTTACCAGTGAAAATCATAGGATAGCTAATTCCCTGCTTCTGTCTGCCACTCTGTTTTTCTCTGCATTTAAGCCTATAGACCTAGCAGATGAGTATTTTCTGTGTGTAAGGAAAGGATATTGTGCCATGTCTTAAATATCTAATTTTGGTCTCTTATTATCTGGATGGTCCATAAGCATAATTGAATGTAACATTCTTTGTTGTAAACCTGTAAAAGACAGTGGGGAAAAAAAAGAAATCACAGCTATCCATTAACTGTAGATAATTGTTACTATCTTGCTGAGGTGCTTTTAGACTGGCCTCTGACCTTTATAAGATGATTTGCAGCTGTCCTCTGATGGTATGATCAGTCTAGGTTTCTGCAAAATGTAGCTTACTAAAGAAGAAAGGCACTAAATGATGACAGTCTTAAAGGTTAATTGATACATAGTCCATGCTGGAAGCTGCCAAGCACTGCAGCTTGGCAGTTGTTGATGTTTCATAGTATATGTTTCTGTGCCTTTTCTAATTCCCAATGTATTTGAAATATTTAGTGCACAGGAGAAGCAGTCTAATCTACTTCATCTCCTCTGAATCCCCTATAAAAATCACATTGTTTTTTCATCTGCTTAGCACTCCCCATTGCTGAGTCCACTTCCTGCTTTGAAACCAAGTTCTTAATTGTTTGTTCCTGTCTGGATCAGACTGTAAAGCCTTCAGGGATGGGAGTTTGCCTGGCTAGGTATTGGTAAACCTCCATCCCCTCCAGCTTAGATTATGCAGGCTTTAAGTATCCACCTCTAGATGGCAAAAATTGGCTCAAACATAGCCACATGCCTTGTAAGCCCGAAAGCAAAACCTTGTTCTCTTGCTTAATAAACTTCATTGGCACTCTGCGTTTCACAGTAGTGTACAAAGCCTTTAAGTTTTCAGTGGGGTTTTACCTACACTGCCTTATTCTCTACGAGTTTCTGCAGAGACAGTGCAACTAGCAATCGTGGCAAAGTACTCCAGCTTAGGGTCCTACCTACAGCTCTTATCCAGGTGTACAGGTGCCGCTCTGCTGAGATCTCAGCATGTTACACTCACGCCGTGTGTAGCCTTTGAAACTGGCATGTTCTGCCTTAGGTGAGTCAGGACATAT